GTGACCTCAGGCACAACGAATAACACATCTGGCGGTTCAAGCTCGAGTCCCAGCGTCCAGCCTAAGTGGTCCTGACCAACCAGAACTTGTTGGAAATGGGGGTTCAATGCATCAATGACTTCCCCTATATTTCCCACCTTACTTCTGGTCATTAGAAAGGGCCCGCTCGGTGTAAGGACGCAGATAGATGCTGCTGATTTGCTTTTGAACATGTGCTCTTCCAGTGTCAGAGGTCCTGTATCGAAGTTGAGAATCTGCATGCCTTCGGATGGGGTCGTATCTTCAAAGAACAATGGCAAAACCGTTTTAGCATCCCCCCTAGGCTGCCAAGTCAGATGCGTGTTCAATGGCAAACGGTAGAATTTGCGAAGGGCTTCCATGACTCTAACCTCCTGCATGACTCGAATGACCACTGTGGTTCTGCCCTGGGTGATCCTAAGTGCATTGAAATGGTGTGTCTCAACTTCCCAACTTGCCGTAGGCGAGACAGGATTTCGTTCAATGATGAGCATGTCGTGCTCAGGGACAACTCGTGTCGAGACATCTGGAGCTCTAAGTCTGTTGTTCATTAGCTCATCAAGAATCCACTTTGGGATCTCAGACCACCCGATCGATGCCAGCTGTGCGATACCATTAATCAGCCCAAGTAAAGCATGTGGCACAGCTATTGCGTTGCCTAACAAATGGTATGCTATCCTGTGGTTACATGGCATGTACACTGGGTGTGCACTCCCGAACAAAAGGGCCGCCTCAGCTATTGACAAAAGACGGATCTTGCCATTGTGAAGGACGAAAGCTCCCAGAAGTCCTTTCTGACTAAGTGTTTCTGTTGGAAGTTCATGAGACTTCGAGTAGCTGGCCATAAGACATGGGTGCACGTCTGCAATGGTTTTGACACGGCATTTCCGGATCTGATACGAAGTAGTGCCAACTCCCTGCGGGAGATAGCGCGGCTGGAAATACATGTCAAAGATGTCTGGACTGGGTGTTGGAGTGAACTCGTGGCTTGCGTCCGAATCCGGCAAAATGATTGATTGCAGTGTTGGTGTCAGGTGTGCCTTGGTCCATGTTCCTGATGGCATCTGTTTGACCCGGGGGTCTCCGATACGTACTGCTACGAGCATCAGCCTGGTTCTTGACTGTGGCAGAACTTCACTCAGGTTCAGGTTAGCTTTCCAGACAATCTCATATCCGGCCCAATGGATAAATGCCAGTATCCAAGGGGCGTGTTGGTGTGCAAGCACTGATGCTACTTCCTCTAGACAGAGTACTGCTGGCCGAAGGTAGATGCATTGTGTGACTGTGTATATGAGCAAACGTCCCTCTTCTGCATCTAAACCCCTTTCTGCTCCCGCCCGACTCCATGGTTGGCATGGAGGAGAAGCGACCAGAATGTCTACCTGCTCAAAAAGGTGGCACCACCAGCTGTGTTCTATGTTTGCAACAACCATCAAATGCTCTTTAGGGGGTTCACCTCCAGCGCCTAAGTCGATTGCTTGCTCTACTGATGTGATGGGTGGAAAGTTTGAGTGATTTGTGGCATGGACTTTAGCAGCAATGATGTCGTGCTCTATTGAGAACACTTGTTTGGCAGGCAGCAACGAATCAGCCAACATCTTAGCAGCGAAACTCCATCCGGAAAATCCTCCCCCAAAGAACTCTCCAACACGAATCTGCTGCTCCTCAGTACAAGCTTCCCTGTTGATTGGAACAATACCTGCCTGTGGCGCTCTGATATCAATTATGCACTGGTGGTCAATCCACAAAAGTCGCGCCTCGACAATGAAGATGTGTCTATCGGGCCCCAGCATCTTCCACAAATGACTTGGCATAGACAAATGTGCAAATGTGACCCTAGGATGCGTACATTCAGGCCATGAACAATTCATGTCACCTATCATATGACTCAAACCAGTGGCAGGGGGAACGATGCGGCATGTGACCAACTCCATCCCATTCCACTTTTGGGCATGGGTCCCTGTGATAGCCTGTGCTGAGAATGCCTTAGTACGACAGGTGCACAAATCTGCAACCGGACAGTGTGCCCTAACGTGATCTTGCAAACTCTTGCGGGTGTCAGGCTTCAGTGTGGGAAGGGATTGTCCGGGGGACCATGAGGCCTCAGGTCCACCACCACGCACATGTCTCTCCACCCATTGTGTTTGCAGTAAGTGGGCCATGAAAAGTGTGCGAACTGAAAAGGCAAACTTGACTAGCACATGATCTTGTGATGCCTGTCTCCACATCCTAACTGCATGATTGCCGATGTAAGCAAAATCCTCAGCCCATTGGTGCGCTTGCAGCGCGTGGACACTCCCTTCACATGATGGCGTAAATGCAATGTCCATCGCATCAAAGCAACCCTGCAACATTTTGAAACCACACATAGCTTCAGGGCACTCATACGGGAACAGATGGGCCCTGATTTGGTGTGTCTGGATGTGTAGGAAGTCTGCCAAAGCCCTCAGGAACCCGGGAACGGCATCGTGGTTACTGTTTGGGAAACCATAGATATGGACCCAGACAAGCCCGGCATCGAAGAGGATGTGGACTGCAAACCAGTGATGATGTGCCATAATTAGTACACGATGCTCCAAGTGATGTGTCAAAATGCATCGTCGATTCGAGATCACCTCCATAATTTGTCGATCTGGGAGCCACATGCAGCATGGCAGCAAGTTGACTGGACCTGTAAAATGGCGGCAAATATCAATGGCATGGTCGAGTTCATCTGATCCGGCAAGCGCCGGGTAGATACAAAACTCTTGGACTCTTGCTCTTGTTCTTTCCCAACCAGGACCGCATTGTGAGATCGTCATATTGCTCGTCTCTTCACCAAAGAACTCTGTTTGTACCCCAGTCTGTACCCTTAGGTTGGCCAAGGCAGTGCTGCTCGAATTCGTGCGAGTTTCTTCGGCTGCATCTTGTGTCTGCGTGGCCACTGTGAGAGTGGACCTTTCATCTTGCTGAGGATGCTCAAAAACCCAGAGTGGTTGACCTGCAGCACAGATAGATAGTGCATCAAGCCTTGTATGCACACTTGTATTGAACTGAAACAAATGTACAAGGAATGCTTGACGAATTGTGTGTGCCGCTTGCTGGAGACCTGGGTCTGCTTGTGTGCGTGCCCATGCATGGGTGGATTTGTCCAAAACCCTTGAGATGATTCGCTTACGATCATCTGATAAGCCTTGGAATTCACTCAGCGTTCTACTAAAGGCTTGTTGCGAATGTGACAACACGATCCATCGCCACAGCAGGGACCACCCGCACATGTGAGGAGGGCCAATGTTTGCCCAGTGTTGAATGACTAGCCGATGTGCAGGTTTTGCAGAACATGGCATATGAATGTCTCAATCCTATGCTGGTTAGCTTGCGAACACTGCAGGATAGCAATTTCAGGCAGGTCATGTTGTTTGTCGATTTCGATTCCTATCCAATGCCCTCCAAAAAGAACCGGCAGCAAACTGACACCAGTATTAGGAACATGGACGTCTTCACTCTCGAAGATGAAATCATCTGCAACATGCGAGTAAATTGCCACTGGTAGGAAATGGAACTGTGAGGCTGCTCGTCGCACACGGCTGGCTGCAAAAGCCCACTCGTCTGTTGCCATCCACCCTTCAGTTTCTTCTGCGAAAACTAAGCGTTCCCCTAGGGTCGCATGCGGTCGCAGAAAAGCAGCTCTGACCGATGTCCATCTTGCAGCACCTCCGGCAGCCACTAGGGGATATCGGCTTTGACTGACCTGTCTATTCCGAAAGATCCATCCAATCCAGTCACCCGGATCAGAATGGCGCTCATCATCCATGGCAGAAACTCCTCGCCCGAGACGCCCCCCAGGGTGCTCTTCCGAGCATGTAGTAAAAGTGCTGCAGTTATTTCTACCAGGAACACCGGAGACTCTTGGAGGCGGTTCGTCATACCCTACCTCATCTTGCTCATCAACGGCTCCAAAGGTGTTCTGGATGCATGGGGGCGGTTTGTTCTGCCCTGCCCCATCTTGTGATTTGATCTGAGTCCAATCTTCAGTAGAATCTGGAGGTGGTTCATTTTTCCCTACCTCATCTTGATGTTTCTTAAATTTCTCGCAGGGCGAATGCATCGAAACAAGACCGGAAATGGTCTTGGCCAGCTCAGGCTCATGTGTCTGTTTCGCTGTTTTCTGGACTGGTGTCATCCACCATTGAAAAGCGTTTGGTGCTCCTGAGCCCCTCTTTTTCCATTGCCTCAAACATGAGGCCCTCCAAGTACTGCCTGCCTGTACCTCCTCGGCCTGCATAAAAAGCATCTCCCGGCACCATCGTAGGGATTTGGTGAAGCTGATTCCATTCAGGTATAATTCTACCATGATGTTTACGAATTGGATGCATTCTATGCTCTGTCGATAGCAGGTTTCCATGTTTTCTTGGAGAAGCCACTCAAGAGTCAGGTGGGTTGCGATCCAATGATCAAACCACTTCACTTCAAAGACGTCCGAAACAGGTGTTGGTTCGGTCACCTTCTTGTCATCCCAGACTGCAATCCATGTCACGCCCCAGGGTGCTCGTACCTGGCACAGGTACCACCTAGCAGGGCACTGGGATTTCAGCTCGTCATACACAGCCTTTCGAAGCTTTACCCTTGTGTATCCTGATGTTCCCCTTTCTGGGGTCTTGATGCGAAGAAACGTGAAGTCTTGACAGGTCTGAAGCACCTGCCACTCTTCCACCAGGATTACCTGTGAGTGAGCGTTCAGCAAACTCTCCTTGGAACGATGTTTGCCAATGCAAATGAAGTCCTCCCATGGCTTATATGGCATGGCCCAATCCGCGGCCGCGCCCAAAAACGCGTCCGACAGCCACACCCCGCGAAGGTCCCCCGATATGGATTGTAAAAACATAACAACCTCCTCATATGATCTCACATGTGTTTGCTTAAGAGATATCAAGAGTCTACATTAAGTTAAGGGGAGGTCAGTGGGGAGGTCATTCTACCAGTTTAACCTCTTCTTTCACCAGGAGCTACGGAGCGATCGCGCCATCGTTGCACGGCTTGGTTTTGATCGGGGCCGGGGGAAAACGGCGACGATCAAAACCTTGGCTGATCATTTTTTGGACCTTCAAAACGGAGCGATTTACCACTTGGATAGCTGGATAATTTTGGAACTTCTAAAAGGATCTTTGAAATTCTACGAGATCTGACTGCTCAAGTACGAAAAACGTGGACAAACCCAGAAACAACGGTTGAACTTGTGCATTGGGGATTTCACTTCCTGGCGTGCATCTCACAGTAGAAAGGTCGTTAAGTACTTTGTGTTGTGCCTATAGAACTTGCAAGTCAAAGTAAATATTAATAGGCTACCCAAGCCCTGCCGCTGTATATATATATATATATGATTATATATTATATAATTGCATATTCCAAAAGTATATATATACACACACACGTGTATAAATAGTAAAAATCCATGGAAATCATGACCGAAAATCTTCACTTCCCCATCCGCGGGGTGTTCCTCGCCACATCCCAAAGGTCCTTTTGGCGGTGCGCTGCACCTGGCAAGCTGCGCGCTTCGCACTGGGCGCCGCGCGCGAGGATCGTCAGGTGGTGCTGGCGGCTGGGCGCTGGCCGCGCTCGCGGTCGCCGCGGCGGAGGCATTGTTGGAGCAAGTCCGATCATGTCTCGTTTTGAAACATCCACATCAGAACGCGGAACGGGGATGCAATTCTTGGTGCGGCAGTGCAAGCACTAGCTTCGGTCAGATGGGTCAATGCATGTCAAAAATTGTGAAGCACATTGAAGTACTCATGGAGCCCAGACTTTGGACTGCACTGCTCCAGGTGCAGCTAGGCTCACCCTGCAGTCTCCAGATCCAACAGTCGCGGCTGGTGACTCAGTTTTGACGTTTGATTTGGGTTTCAGCCCTACCCATCCAGTGGCGTCGCCACAGGATCCAGAGGTATTGTGGAAAGGTTGGGAAATCCGACCGCCCTCGAACCTGCATTGGAAAAGATCAGACAAGCCTTACATTTACAGGTCAACAAAAGTTTGAATAGCTGCTGAATGATCTGAATGAGAACATCTACATCCGTGAGGATGTTTGGTTGTGTTGAAAGAGTCTTCCTTTTGTCCAGCTGCTTTTTCCATTAAGGGTGCCAGAGTTGAACCGACCTCGTCACGACGTGGCCTTCAGCCCCAGAGATGCGGTGAGCGGCCTCGAAAGGATGCGACGGAGCGCGTCACAAAAGGGAGTGTGGTCTGAGAGACTGGGGTGAGCGTAGTACATCCAGGTAGATTCAGATGAGGACTTTTTAGAGTAAAACCCATCGGCCAAACGAAATCCTGGAGGTGATGAGTGAGCCTAAAGTCTGCTGTCTAAAGATGTGCTGAATGGACTGCTTGTGACTGATGGATGAGTCTTCTTCTTCACCTCGGAGAGCTCCAAGCGCCGACCGGACGGTCGACCGACTCAAGAGACCAAACTGAAGAACCCGGGTGTGGGAGACCGCGATGTATAGCTAGAGTATGCTAGAGTGGCGAATGGAAACTCGTTGATTATATGATGTTATATTAATATATCGCGGCCACGGACAGAGTCTCCGGCTACCGCAAGAGCAAAAAAAAAACTATATTATCCCGGCAAGAGACCCCAAACAGTGTGCGTGAGGTCTGTAAGCAGAAAGTCTAGAGATCTAGGCGCATTGGGGTCCAGAGAGGTGATGGCGGTGATGAAGTGAATGTGGGTGTGAGTGAGTGTGGGTGAGAGGGAGTGTGAGTGTGAGTGAGAGTGGGAGAGTGAGTGTGAGTGAAAGTGTGAGTGAGAGTGAGTGTGGGTGAGAGTGAGAGTGAGTGTGAGTGTAAGTGAGCGTGAGTGAGAGTGAAGGTGGGTGTTAGTGAGTGTGGGTGAGAGTGAGAGTGTGTGTGAGTGTGTGTGTGTGTGAGTGAGTGAGTGAGTGAGAGTTAGTGAGTGTGGGTGTGGGTGAGAGCGAGTGTGAGGGAGAGTGAGAGTGACTGTGAGTATGAGTGAGACGTGAGTGTGAGTGAGTGCGAGAGTGAGAGTGAGAGTGAGAGTGAGAGTGAGAGTGAGAGTGAGTGAATGAGAGTGTGAGTGAGAGTGAAGGTGGGAGTGAGTGAGTGTGGGTGAGAGTGAGCGAGCGAGTGAGAGTGAGTGTGGGAGAGTGAGTGTGAGTGCGAGTGTCAGTGAGAGTGAGAGTGGGAGTGTGAGGTGAGGGGGTGTGAGTGTGAGTGAAAGTGGGAGTGAGAGAGAGTGAGCATCTGAGAGCACAAAGTGCTGCGCCTGCCACGAAATCTGTCTGTGCCTGCCACGAAATCTGCACTTCGAGGTTCGCCAAGTGCTGCACCTGCCACGAAATCTGCACTTCGAGGTTCACAAAGTGCTGTACCTGCCACGAAATCTGCACTTCGAGGTTCACAAAGTGCTGTACCTGTCACGGAATCTGCACTTCGAGGTCCACCAAGTGCTGCACCTGCCACGAAATCTGCACTTCGAGGTTCACAAAGTGCTGTACCGGTCACGAAATCTGCACTTCGAGGTTCACAAAGTGCTGCACCTGCCACGAAATCTACACTGCACATCGAGGGTCACAGAGTGCTGCGCCTGCCACGAAATCTGCAAACGAGCCACATGTCCAAAAGTCACGATTCACTGCACCTGTCACGAAATCTGAGCTCCTCGACGATCACCACCATGTCCAAAGTGCTGCACCTGCCACGAAAACTGCATTTTGAAGCAAAACACCTCCGATCCCTTGCACCTGTCATGAAAAGTGACCACCATGTGCGAAAATGCGCACGGCACCACAACGAGAGCGCAGTCGCTGGCACCTGCTGCCGGCCCCCAGATTCTGCGAGCCTGCGCAGTCGGAGTGCACATGGACGATGTCGAGAGGCATGAATGTACTGTAAATAGCTACGAATTAGCCGTTCACGCCCGCGCGCCTCAGCGATCTAAGCACACCTTCCTTTCCCCTACCGTAAGAACCCCTCAGTGTGCCCACACTGTTTGGGGAATATAATGGAATATATAATATATACATATATATTTATTGAACATTATAATGCACTTCAACCTCCGGATGAAGAGGTTTTACAATCTATAGATGGGGCTTGATCAATCATCCGACATGGTCGAGCACCTCTTTGGTGGTTGACGTTTGCCGAGCCTTTTTCCGTACGAAGAGCGCGACGAGCAAAGAGCGCTTCGAAGAATGGCCAGGAAGTGGGCGAAGGGCTCCTTGAGGAGCTGGCAGGGACGGAGGTGGATTCGGATGGATTTTTGGGAACCAGAAAGGTGCTCTTCCAATTGAAATTTGCTGTAGAATGGTGTGTGAACAAGGGTCATGCACTTGGTGACTGAAACGGCTCAGGCCATCCTTCTGGCTATCAAAGAGGCCCTTAAAGATCTTAAAGGGGTCAGGGCGTGTGAAGCCCCTCTTCGTGTGTGAACTGTAGTGAAGAGATAGTTTTGAAGAGGCTGGTTTTGTTTGGTTTCCTTTCTGAATTCTAACAGAATGTGTCGAGAGATTTTGTGGGGAAATCTTGGGAATTCTCGAAAAGCTCTTTGGTTGAGTCAAGAGCCTGGACCCGCTTGTTGAGCTCGTCCAATGGACTGGTGGCCAAGCATCCCCAAGCGCGATCCTACCAGATTAATTTAAAGCAAAACTCAGACAAGCGGTGCTCACCGACAGGCATTCACCAGAGTGCTGTAGCCGTGACATCAGTTTGGGTTACCAGATGGGCACCTGTGGAACCAGCAATTCCAAAAAACAGGAGAGCGGATTCCTCGTAGCGACTCGAGCGCAGGTGTCGGTGACTTTCACTACAAACCTGGTCAGGTGTTTATCAATGGGTCCTAGTAGGTTCCATGTTTAACACCTTTTGTTTTTAACACCTGGAGGATCCTGGAGGTGTGTTTTCTTCGTCTTCACCGAAGGTCGCTGGAGCCGCGGGCCCCTCCGACCATGTCGGCGTCGCGGCATTCGATGGATGGAACCGATTCGGCTGAAGGGGCACCGAAGAAAAACGGTCTATATTAGTTTTTCGATTATTGATGTTATTGTTATGTTAAATTAACTGTATATAATGTAATTATGACATATTTTTCATACATACATACCATACCATACCATACCATACCATACCATACCATACCATCACATCACATCACATCACATCACATCACATCACATCACATCACA